GTAATTATAGAAGGTGCTGCTGACTTCCATTTTCACTGCTGCCCTTTTTTATGAGAAAAGCACACCTCTTCATTACTATGCAAAATGAGCTGAAGAGAGCAGTTGATCTCATTGCTAAGAAACCTCCCTCTGTGCTCTGTGTGTATAAGGTGCCTTTTAGGCCTTTAAATGTTACTTTTCAAAGGCATAAAAACATTGAGCAAGGTTATTACATACATAATCAGATACATCAAATTGTACGTGTGTGATGCTTAAATTGGATGGGTAGGCAGGTGGCTGAGTGTGTGAAACTCTCTCTATTAAAATACTCCCATGTGGCACAGCAGGTGTTACAGTGCTGGGGGGGATGCTAATATGCTAATGTGGGATGAATCCATGAGTGCATAATTGCTGGATGATGTGGTATTTTAAAAAAGATTCATACATACCATTGAAATTTTTGGTGTAGTCTTTCTATTAATATCCAGTTTTCTGGGGTACCAAGGAAGGCTTAAAAAAAGAATCCAAAAAAAAACACAACATATGGGGGAGCATTTTTTACAAATCAAATTTTGAAAGAAATAAAGTATGAATTAGGGCCTGACAGGGTGGCCAGTATGGCAAAAATACAATTTTCATGATGTACGATATATATCACAAAATGCAATGGTGAACCAAGCTAGACCCTCAATTCCAGTAAGAAATGTCAAAACCTGGTCAAAATATGAACACAAACACACCTCTATGATAATAATAATTTCCACTCATGACTCATTAGTGAGCTCTTGTTATAAAGTTGCTGCCGCTGTTTTCTATTTCTAATAATCCATTGATCAGACTGCCAACTTCCAGAAGGCCTAGAGTAACGTATTTCTCGTGATATTGGTCCCACTCATTGGAAATGAAAACGTGATTGGTTGATTCCTGTCACTTCGTAATTGCACCGATTGTTAATCGAACACGTTAGGTGTTTTTTCAATTAGCTTTATCTATGTAGATACCGTGGAGAAAAACAATTCCTGATTGTATTCCTGATCCAATTTTCAGCTCGCCATTTGAATAATTTAACCTATTTGTTTCCATCCAGAGCTTAACAATGAAACAAGAGTAGTACCGTAATACTTGGCAAGCATGATTCTATTGGATAAAAAACTACAAAAAATTACATACACATATTTTTAAGTTCCAGGAGGTCTCTGAGGGTTCCCCTATGTTGAAATGTAGCTGTCTGATGTTTGAGTACAATGATTTTTATTCAGTGTTCTACATACAGTACTGCACAAAATCCAGTCTAACAGGATTAAGTATGCTCTCTTTATAATGAAACATGCAGTTGGTCAGTGTTTTATCCACAATATGTTTAGAAAAGCAGTGGCATATTGTGAGGTAATTTATCACAATATGATGTCCTATTGCCCACCCTTAGGTCCAACAATACTTCAACCAGTACTGAAGTGTCCACCTGTACAGAAACCCCTTACATATTCTAGCCCATAAGAAAAAGGAGGGATGGGGTGTGAAGGTCTTTTTTTATCTTTTCTTTTTTTCTTTTATTGCTGACTTTTTGTGTTGGTGGAATTTGGGTAGTCTGTGCTACTAGTCTGTTATGTCAGAAAAAAAAAAACACACAAACGCACTGTTATTTCTAACACATTTGAAAGATGAGCTCAAAGGTTTTTACCGTGATGAGATTAGGATCCACAATTTCGTTCTGGCGGAGGATTTAGAGCCCCTGAAAATGAATGGACAACTGTATTCTTAATGGGTTTAACTACTAACTGGTCAGAAGCTGTATTTCTTTTGGTGCATTTCTATTGCATTATGACCCCCTCACTGACACAACACTGATATTCACCGGTGGGTACATACTCAGGACTCTGAACGATCCCTGGTTGTTAGCATGCTTCTGTAATTGCTTTCATGAATGAGTATTGTTCTAATTACATTATATACACATTACGTTCACAACAGTGACCAAGTCATGTAAACCCTCCTTTTTGCCAAACACATCTTCCTTTTTTCATTCTTTCTTCCCATTTGAATCTCTAGATATCAGGGCAGGTATTTCACTACTAATTCTGCATTCATGATAACCAGTGGTTCAGAATTCTCCAACTCTGAATCTTCTGCTTCCCAACTAAAAATGTTCACACTGTGTCAGATGTTGGGGGGAAAAAAGGATGCTCACAGTGAGCTTGAGATTGTTTGGCTACTGTGTTTATATAAAAGCATTTACATTTGAATTGAAGAGCCATTAATATAACATGATTAATATAACACCAAAAAATGGCATGAAAGTTATGGATTAGCAATTCGGAGAAGTCAGAGCTCTTGAGAAACTCAAGACTTTCTGAGTAGGAATTGGGAGTTGGAGGGATGTTCAAATGGATTTTTCCCACTTGGAGGTCAGACACTTTCCAGTTCCTACTTGGTCATGAATGCAGCATAATGACCCTTTTTTGTTCTATCTTTCCAGAATACACTGCTGTAACTATTATCCACTGTGAGGTTATTTCTCCACATCATAGTGGTCACACACTATTTTGATGGCCCACTATAGCTTATCGACAAAGGCTCAAATTATTAACAAACTATCTGGTGACACTGAGTTGATGTTTTCACCCTTATCCCAAACACGCTGACTGACTACATTTGGGGTAAGAAGACCATTGTCTAGACCTGATATTTTGCTGAACGATTTCTTTTTAAGTTAGGGTCATGGGTCGAATCAAAAGGTAAAAGGACCCCCCACACCCACCAACAAAGTCACATGTGACTTCAGCTTTCATTAAAAGGACCAGTGTCCACGGTCTTTGAACGTTAGAGCTGCAGCCATGTACGGTTGACAGCGGGCGGTCAAAACTGCTCGACTAAAAGCTGATAAAGGTTCCTATCCCTTTACGAGGGAGTGAGGGAGACTCATCTTGCGCTGTACGGCGCAAACATGTTACGTCATCTCCAGGAATTTACGCATAACAGTAGTCGATGGGAACATTTATTTTATTTTATTTTGCCACCCCCCACCCAAGGTCCACTTTTGACACATTTGAGCTTTTATGTAACAATATTAGCCATAATTCAAATATTTATAATTCAGTGACGATTTAGTGATGCATATTTATCCCTTACACAAGCTGTTTTTTCTTTATGAGTGATATCTATTTCATTTAAAGAAAGTGAAGAAAAGTTAGTTTTCCATGATTCAGGTAAAGGTAGAGGTAAAAATTGCTTAAATACTGAAATGGAGCCCAGATTTGGGAGTATGGTAATTAGGCTTTATCAGACTTTACTTTTCTTAATTTTTAAAGTTTCATTAGATTTTTTTGTGTGCCACAGTGCATGTAACCATAGTATCTGTATGTGTAAATTTCTATTTTTATTTTAAAAAGGGACATATAAGCAATGATCATTCTCATTGGTAGTTAATCAATTTTACATTGCTGTTGTATTCTGTTTTTATGTTTTTTTTTTTTTATGTATAATGTCCTGCAGGGACCTGATGGGTTTTGCCACAGGTTCCCAACTCTGGTCCTGGAGTATCCCCTGTCCTGCATATTTTAGGGGTTAACTAATTATCTTGTTAACAGCCCTAAGGTGGGTGTGTTGGAGCTGGAAAACACTAAAATGTGGGGTCCTCCAAACACTATAATAGGGCTTTCCTAGGGCCAGGGTTTGGAACCTGTGTTGTAAGCTAATGCAGTGTGTGTGTTTGTGTGAGCATACCTTTTAAAGCTCCAAACGTCTCTGATATCAAGGGGGTCTTGAGCTGGGGTTTTGCAGTGGGCCACCTTTTCCCCTCCAAGCTTTTGTTGGCCCTTTTTTAAACCTCAGACTCTTTTGGGCAAGAATTCCATCTCCACTGATTTTCCTCTGCTCAGTATTATATTACTAACATAATATTATCAACATAAGCTATATGTACACAGATGTACACAAAGGTTTGAACATCCCTGGGTTTAAAAACATCCTTTACGGGGAATACATTTAAAAATCTTTTTTGTCTTTATATTTATATATATATATATATATATATATATATATATATATATATATATATATATATATATATATATATCTGTTGCTGTTTGCATTAGCTTTCCTCTTAATCTAATCAGTGGTCAGTTTCTGGAGACAATATATTGCATATATTTGGTTGGCCGACTGTTTTCTCAGCCCAGCAGTGACACTGTATATATGTATATATATATATATATATATATATATTAGCATGCAAAAGGAATTTATCAATATTTATTGATTCAACATCTTGCTTCCAACGTTTAAACAACGTGTTGATTTTTGAAATCAATTAGTTGATTTTTGGTCATCAACCAAAAACGATGAAAATGATGCTTTATCTACATTGATTCAATGTTACTTTGTCAATCTTTGTAGCAGCGCTGCTGTTACACTGAGGTGCCTTAAACGTAGAAGTAATTGCGAAAGTTGGAGACTATGAAGCCAACATCAGCTTACCTCAATAAATATATCAATTTACCTCAATAAATGCATCTTCAATCAACAAATATCTAAAACTGAGCAGCTAACAAGCAGCACAGCAAAGCTCTTATCAGCCATTGGAGCTGTTGCACACATCTCACTGGCTTGTCTAGTGTCGCATCCCAAACCATAAACTTCTGTACTTTTCCTATTACACTAATGAGTGCACTTTTAATGCTATACGCGCTATTATTTGCATATTTAGTGTGCTGGTATGTGGTTTGGGACACGAAAATAATAATGCAGCAAGAAATCTCAGCCGTTTAGATTTTAGATGTTGATGACTTTTAAAGGGGTACATAGTAACACTGAGTCTAATTCAGGAAAATGGCCACTTATACACCTTTACTTGAAATCCTCAATGATGGCACTAGACAAGTACAATTTATTTTTTATTTAACATTTGCCAACCTTTATTGATTTTCCCTTTAAACCTGCACAAATGGAAGGGATTCCTTTTGATGAAAGGAATGTGCTAAATTGTGTGTGTGTGTGTGTGTTGTGCACTGTTATTTTCACAGAGGCGTCTATTCTGAGCTTTGATGGCAGTATGTACATGAAAGTGGTGCTGCCTAATATCATGCACACAGAGGCAGAAGATGTGTCACTGCGCTTCATGTCCCAGCATGCCTTTGGCTTGCTCATGGCTGCAACTTCCCGCGACTCAGCGGACACACTACGGCTTGAGCTGGACGGAGGCCGAGTGAAACTCACTGTCAATTTAGGTAATGTACGCAGCCGGAACTCTCTCTCTAACCTGCCATCTACTCTTTCCTCACTCTCTCTCTTGGTTTTTTCCTTTCTTTTTTTTTTACTGTTTTTATTTCGGTATCATTATTATTCTTTGGTGTTAATAACTAGTTGAACAGTGGCATTCTTGCCTAAAATTTGCATGAATAGTTTTTGCTCTGGGTTTTTTCTTATTTTTTTGCTACCTTGCTGTGTTGCTGATTGATAGATAGTATATAGATGAGATCTCATTGTTATAACACTTAACACTATAACCTCTGAACTCATGCCGTTTTGCACCAGTCATCGCCATGTGCATTTTCATGAATACTTTGACATTTATTTCAAATATTAATTTAAACATTGTTTGTTTCATTATGATAGTGAAAATAGTGCAGAACTTGAGCAAGCATTAATTAAGTCAGTTAAAAACACCCTGATTGATATCTGGTTAAGTATGTACACTAAAATAATGGTGCCTAAAGGGTTCTTTGGAGCAATGTCAGTCCTCAGGGCCCCCCAGACAGTCCAAATGTTTTTTTTCATCCCTCTGTGTTGCAAGTTGGGTTGAAGCAAAATGTAGACCGTCTGGGGGGCCCTGAGGACCAGGTTGGGAACCACTGTCATAGAAGAACCACTTCTGGTACCCTAAGGAACTTTTCAGTGGATAGATCTTTAAAGGCATACTCAATCTAATCTTTATGGCAGATATCTGTAGTGTATGGTCACTTACATAATAATGTACACTTTTTTCCTTATACTCAGTAAAAGAACAGACAACCAAAAACACTGTCCATTTGCTTATATTATTTGCTTGTATTGTGATGCAATAACCAAATTTCTGTTGTTTTCTAAGTACAAAAAAGATTGTTGAAATGAAATTATTGTCCGTGGTAAGAAACAGCATGCTACAGATGCAGAGGCTAGGTTGAAATCGTTGGAATATTCCTTTGAAGTACCACCTATTCAAAAGTATTTTAGGGAACCAAAGGTGGTTCTTCTAAGACCAAATCATTCAGCCCTACCCCCAACCCAAATCTAACCCACTCGGCCAATCTAATCAAGGATTTCTGAATGCAGTAATTAAAGGGATCAAGTGGGGTTGATTAAGGCTGAGGTTTTCAGGAAGGTAGATCTCAAGGAGCATGGTTGGTGACCACTGTTCTAAAGCATCACTCTAAATAACCCTTTTGACATTTTTTTGTAGAGTAGCTTAATGCCTTTTCAAATGGTAAGGTACATATGATTGATGATTCTTTTAAAACATTTTTTGCTTTTCTGCCGTGTTATCAAGAAAATGACTCCCCATTCCCATTTCTTACTGGCATCATCCACGCCTTGTTCAAAGATGGTACTCACCCCTTCAAAGGCCCTTAGCCTGCGGCCCATTAGGCAAACAGCCCAAGACCAGAGCACCCAGCTTACCTGCACCTGGTGACCAAAGCAGCACACACAAAACAAACACACACACACACTCTGTCTGTTAGATCTTCTTAATACAAAAGTATCCAAAAGTATCCTTGCATACAAAGGAATATCACAATATACAATTTATGTTGTAAAACCCTTTAGTTTTCTGTATGATTATCAGTTACTTTCATTAAAATGGTCACAAGTTACACAAATGCTCTGCATATTAAGGTGGATTTACTGTTCACTAATGCTGAAATCTTTCATTATACATTTAACTCATTTAACACTAAGCAATACATTACCATGCATGTGTTCAGTACTCACCATGTAACTATAAATTGTTGTTCCAGTCTGCAGATTTTAGCCTTTATGTCATTATTTTATGTTATTATTCAAAGTGTTTACCACTGTATGGTGCTGGTGCTTATTGGACTGAGGCTGTTTGCTCCCACTTTTCTGTTGAGGTTGACGGCACATGACCACACTGGCCATTTAGATCATAACCTAGAATACAGGACAGGTTATTTTTCAACTTATCAGATCTGTCATTAATCTGCTGCGTTTAAAACTGTCTGTCAATTTGGACGTAATTGGTTTCAAAATTTGAAGGATAAAACCACCAGAAAAGCTGAAAACATAGTGGGTACCATATTGCCATTGGATTATTCTTTGTTTTAAATATCCATTAGGAGTAAAATGTTTATTGAGAGATTAGTGGTTGTGTCTAGCTATGTATAACTATTGACTTACTTTAAGCGAATGCTTAAAATAAGTTTCAAATTACATACGTCAAACCTGATTCGAACAGTTTTACCCAAACTCTGCATTTGGTAACTTCCAAAATACATTATAATCATTATTTAGCCAACAGACTGGAATGCTAATGAACAAAAGAGGCAGTTGGCTGTTATGATCAAACATCTGCTAGACCTACTAGAAAATGGAGGTTAGGTGCTGATCCAAAATGGCCACTGCAACATGCACTCGTCCCCGGAAGGTGGAGGTACTGTTGTTGGATGTCTGCAGCTGTAACCTTGAAGGATGCGATTTCATCTGTCACTTATTCTTCCCCATCTAGATTGTGTCAGGATAAACTGTAATGCCAGTAAGTTCCTGCTCTACTTATTATTCTTCAGATTGTTTGTTATGTGCAGAGTACAATAGTGAGGAAGAAAAATATGGAAAAGAAAAGAACAGATTTGATGTTTTAGAAAACATTTGATCATAAGATTGCTTTTGTGCAGGGGATGCATTAAGAGTTCTGGGCTGATGCGACCGCTTGTTATTTTCAAATCTTGTCTGCAAATATAATAGATTAGTACATTTAAGTGTAAACATGGACAGAGTAAATCACAAACCAGTTTGCACACGAGGAACTTAACACATTAGCATCAGTCTAATTGTAATTAATTGTTCAATTGTAATTGAAGAAATGGTTGTAATGTGATAAGCTTAACAAATATTAGGCAACAAAATTGTGGTATTATGCATCCCTATGAAAAAAGTATGTTCAATTTGTGTATTTTTTGCTAGAATGTCTGATACAGTATGTGTCAATTCTGTTCCTTAAAGATTTTTTTGTTAACCTTGTTAGCATGTTTGCTTGACCTACACTTTAAAAAAGGGTGTTTTTTCAAGGATTATTTAATAGAACTATTTTCTATTCTAAAGAACCCTTGAAGAACCATCCTTTTTAAGAACGTACTCTACTAACTGCTCTTACTCATGAAGAGGTTTTAATGCACAGTAAGGAAGACAGCAGCCTTTCTTTTCTTCCCCTGAAACTTATAAAGGTCTGAAAAATGTTGGCTGCAAAAGAAATCACAGGGAAAAAGCATTGTGTTCTAAGGAAAAGCCTAGTGGTTCACTTGTCCAGCCCTAGAAGCCCATAACAATGCATTATTGCTTGCCCTGCTCTGACACAGATGGTTAGAAGGCAGGTGGTTGATTACATTAGGTAAGTCAGTAAGATTAAACATTAAACACCAGTGATAAATTCTTCGGTGAAACTGAAATTCAGGAGACTTGTCTGAACACTGAAACTGGAGAACTGAGGAAAAGTCTTTTGATGAATGTCATCCATATGAAAAAAAAAACTACAAAGTAAATGAAAAAACAATGGGTTGGTCATCCAAGACAGTGGATTACACATTTTTTAATTATATTTTGCAGTTTGCCACTATTGTTGATTTTTTTGTTATTTCAAAAACTGAGGCTACAGATAACATTGTTGTGCTTAGCAGGGGCTTTCCTTTCTGCTTCTTTTGTTATTTGTATTCTGTCTATTGAGAAAGATGTCTTCTGTTCAAGTATTATGAAATCTGTAGTGGAAAAGTTCTTGAATGGTGAACCTCCTGTGTGAAGTAGTTCCACACAGCCAGCATTTTCACTGTTGATTTCTTCCTGCTCAAACTGTTCGCATGCTTCTTTGCTGATCGGACCTTACAGTGCAGGAAACGGACAGTGTTTATGATCACCATTTCCTTATATGGGTCTGTTGTTGTTGACCTGTTTGGCTATTTTTTGTTTTTCAGTGGCTGAATTTTTCAGTGCATCCTCACGCTTCCAGTTGTCTAAGGCAAAGGCTGAAATATTGGTCTGAAACAAATATTCACCTGCATGTAGTGAGCTTTTTGCTTGTACTACTGCCTCAGCACAAATGCTTTGCTTAAGGAACAAACATATTAAGGCACGCAAAAAAATTTAAAAAAGGAAAGGGAAGAACATCCTCCTTTTTCTAGAGAATTGGAATGTAGACAAGCATATGCCATTTGAAATGAGAGAACTTGGCACAGTTTAGGGAACTGACCTATTATGTGTGAAACAGGCTACAATTAAATTTGGCATAAAAACACTGTGTGCGTGTTGTTAAATGAGGGTATTAAACCATTCAAAAAGGAAACTGATGCAAATTTAAACCATTAATGGGCTATTTGCTTCAAGTCGATAACATGATGCATTATAGCAGCATAACAACCAATTACGAAATTACTAATTTGCCCAGTTTTATTGTAGTTTCTATGCTTTTGAACGTACATGCTTGCCTCTGTAACATCAAAGGAAGATGTTACAATTTGAAGGCATACAAAATTCACTTTGCAGTATTATGTACTTTTGTGATTGGCTGGTCACTGATTATACAGATGATATTTCCTTGTTATTTGAAGTTGACAGTGAACTGTTCACCTTTCATGAGCAACAGCAGTTAATAGCTATTTAAATTGTAATTATGTCATAATATTGACTGCACACCCAAACGAGAGTACATATGACAAAATAGTTATCTTTACTGCAATACTACATGGATTTTGTGGCAAATTAAATAGGGGAATTGGTCAAAAACACAGAGTCGTTTTGTAGAGCTGCCGTGTATAAATTCTCACTAATGTACCGTCATTCTCAGGCAAAGGCCCCGAGACTCTGTATGCTGGCCAAAAGCTGAATGACAACGAGTGGCACTCGGTCAGAGTGGTGCGACGTGGTAAAAACTTCAAACTCACAGTGGATGATGATGTTGCTGAAGGTATGAGTAAACTTTCATTGGATTGAAGTGTGACAGCTAATGCATGCAGAGTGTGCTGTTAGATCAGAAGAATCTGTCAACCTTTTTCTTTCTCCTTTCTCTCTTTGTCTTACTGTATCTATCTCTTTCTCTCTTTCTGTATCTCTCTTGCTTCTTCTCTCTTTTTGTCCCTCATGTCTGTCTGTCCTGCTGCCCCTCTCCCCCCCTCCCCCTTTCCCTTTGTCTCTCTCCCTCTCTCGCCATATATGTAGGTCAGATGAATGGCGATCACACACAGCTGGAGTTTAGTAATTTGGAAACAGGTATTCTGACTGAGCGGCGCTTTGCCTCGTCAATGCCGTCCAGCTTCATTGGACACCTGCAGGGCCTCAAGTTCAACGGTCTGCTCTACATTGACATGTGCAAGAACGGAGACATCGAGTTCTGTGAGCTCAATGCTCGCTTTGGCCTGCGCTCTATCGTGGCGGACCCAGTCACCTTCAAAACCAAGGGCAGCTACTTGGGCCTGGCGACACTGCAGGCCTACAGCACCATGCACCTCTTCTTCCAGTTCAAAACCACCTCTGCTGATGGCTTTATTCTGTTCAACAGTGGAGATGGCAGTGATTTTATTGCTGTGGAGTTGGTTAAAGGGTGAGTGGAGCCTAGTCTCAGTTACCCTGTCAATAGTGATTATTTATTTATGATTCATAGTCCAGGGATAAAATTAATCTGAACCAGAGTATATTCATATTATACAATCCATACGTGTATAAAAAGCATCCAAATAACCACATGGTTCTGTGTTAAGGTTCTCTGGTTTTGGTGTCTTTGTGGACCCTTAAAACCCTTAAAGTCTGTACTCATTGTCCACCTTTTTTGTGTACCTTATAGGGACATTTAATTGTCTATTATCACTGTTTTACACTGACATTAGCATTAGTCACCAGAGGATATTATACTATCCTCTGCTTGCCTCTTTCATAGATACTATTTATGACAACTGCAAATGTAAACATTAAGGACACAGAGTTGACATACATGTTACTGTGTACTATACTATACCACTATATACTATTATAGTACTATTATACTATAATAGTACTATATATAGTAGTATTAATAGTACTATATATAGTAGTATTACTACTATAATAGTACTATATACTATTATAGTACTATTATACACTACTGTTACTATACCACTGTTTAGTGTAGCAGTTTAGCCAGTGACTCACTATCAGGCAGTGCTGCCAATTGTTTTTTTTTCATTCCGGCCGGTAGTCTGACCCGTCATTTGGACCGTCCAGGCTAGTTGCACTAAGGATAAACTAGAGCACAGTGCATCCACATCATTGACTACATATATATATATATATATATATATATATATATATATATATATATATGTGTGTATATATATATATATATATATAAACTTGACCCAGTCATCCCGATGTTTCCAATGGGGACCAGCTGAGGTTAATTGTGTCACTTCCTGATGGGCTTCTCATGCGGTGGATAGTGGGAACGCCCGAGAGTCTATGAATTGGTTATGGCCGACTTTCAGCCCAAATATGCGATGGCCGATTTGCCGGTATTTCTCTAACTCCGATGATTCAGATGAAGAGCTGATCAGTAAAATTTATGAGCCATATTTAAGGATTGGTGCAGACCTGCACGAGGCTCCTTGCAGTTTTTCGTTCAAGCGCTATGGAAACACGGACATTTTGACTTTGACTACAAGACTAAACGCCTATTCACGCCAAGTCCAGTTTTTACGGACTAAAAAATGCTCGTCGCGTTTTGAAAACGAACAGACGTATATAAATGCTGTCTTTCACACCGAGTCCGAAATGGATTGCGACGCTGCGTAAATTTCTAATCGGGTCGTGTTGTACAGATGCGTTAATGTCAGGCTCAGCTGTCGTGGTTGCAGCCCAAACAGACGTGTGTCAGGACAGCGGGAGAACTCTTGTAGCAGAGCAGAAAAGCTCAATACAACAAGCAAACGCTGACTAATGAGAGGAGCAACACGCAGAAGCAGAACCTCGAATTCCCCCACTGAGGAATTACCTGCAGAATCGCTCCCTGCAGCTTCATTTCTTGTAAGAGGCGGTGGGACTCCCCGTATTGTTTTTCTGTTGAATGGGATGTACTTGTGCACCGTTTAGCTGCAGTGCTTAAAAACCGCGTCGGACTTGGTCTGAACCGCCCACTAAAATCGTATTTGTTTTGTTTTTGTTTTTTGGCCGAAACTGCTCCGTTGTGAGTCACAGCCTGAGCCACATCCGCCTCTCTGCCCCCTGGTCTCAAATATACGTATCTGCAGCCCGGAGAACCAGTGGGCGTAACGAATGGGCGGAGACACTGTCAATCATTTCTTGCCTCTGGCAATCATATAACAGAAATGGACTGTCAATCAAAACTTGCATTAGCCAATCACAAGAGTGAATTACCTGTCTCGTTTTATGCATCAGCCAGTGGTTAGAAGGAAAGTGCAAAAAGGCGTTCCATACTGCTCAGGCACGCGGAAGTGGGAAGATAGTTTAAAGCTTAAGTTTGAAGTTGAATATCACCTAATTTCTTATTTCAGATCAAGACATTATTATAACTATAGTTTCACATATATATATATATATATATATATATATATATATATATATATATATATATATATATATATATCACACACACACACAACATGTAATTCGTTACTGTACTTAAGTTGTTTTTTCATGTATCTTTACTTACCCAGCTGGCATTTCAACGTTTATTCACGGTTGAATCAACGTCACAGATCATGGTTGAAACAACGTTGGATTATGTTTCGATTTTGAAAGATGAATCGACGTTGATATCGCGACGTTGTTTCAACGTCTTACCTTTCAACGTTGAGTAACCCAGAGAGCAAAAATCAGTCGGGCCAAATCCCAGCCGAATACCGCATACCGATCTTATACCTCGTTTGCCGAGACTTTGGTTTGTATCTCCGCCCAATTCTGGCCTAAATGCTCGGCTCACGTACGTTGTGCTATTAACACTCCCAGCTAGCAAAATATACTCAAATTACTTCGATACAATTTCTGTGTAAATCTGAATCTCTATAACTACATGTACCTCAACCAAAAGCATAGCATTTGCTAAGATGTAGACTAACATTCACTTTTATTCTGAAATAGCATAACAGAATCCAGACAACAATAAAAAGAAAACCAACTGACCCAATAGCCAATGAACACAGTAAAGCACAGGCAAACACAGCTGAACAATCAATAGTTTGTCACAGTTTTAATATGCATCATCATCATCTATTAAGCTAGTACACACTGTATCATGCCTTGTAAAGTAACACAATTTTAAAGCTCACCTGTTTTCACCTGTATGCATGCATGAATTTCAATGACAACACTAGAAATCATTTGGAAACAACTGCTTTAATTGTCTTACATAAATATACAGTACATGCCTACAACACTAACAAAATGGACTATTCAGTACATAAAGGTAAACAGTTAACATATACCAATAAACGTGTTAAAGAAAAATACACATGAAACTGAAGTGTGCAGTACACCACTGTGCTTTATTACACACACACACACACACACACACACACACACGCACACACACACACGCACAGCCACTTTATCATTTATAGCTACCTTGTATTCACTCATTTTCCATTTAATCAGGTTCACAAATATGGGAGTACTTTGTAGCTCTACAATTACAGACTGTAGTCCATCTGTTTCTCTGTTTCCCCCTTTTACTCTGTTCTTCAGTGGTCAGGACCCCCATGGACCCTCACAGAGCAGGTACTATTTGGGTGGTGTGTTAGTGTGTGTTGCGCTGGTCTGAGTGGATCAGACACAGCAGTGCTGCTGGAGTTTTTAAACACCTCAGTGTCACTGCTGGACTGAGCATAGTCCACCAACCAAAAATGTCCAGCCAAAAGCATCCTGTGACCACTGATGAAGGACTAGAGGATGACCAACACAAACTGTGCAGCAGCAGATGAGCTATTAGATGCTATTAGTCTCTGACTTTACATCTACAAGGACTAGCAGAAGTAGGAGTGTCTAATAGAGTGGACAGTGAGTGGACAGTGTTTAACTCCAGCAGCACTGCTGTGTCTGATTTACTCACACCAGAACAACACACACTAACACACCACCATCATGTCAGTGTTACTGCAGTGCTGAGAATGATCCACCACCCAAATAATACATGTCCTGGGGGGGTCCTACGGGGTCTTGACCATTGAAGAACAGGGTAAAAGGGTAAACAAATTATGCAGAGAAACAGATGGACTACAATCTCTAAAGTCATCCTGCAGCGTGACTGTTACTGTGGTTTCTTCATGGCTGCATCTAAAATAAAGAAAAAAAGTCAGCAAGATCAGTAAAACCCTCACCAGATAGCAGACAGCAGGCATTATGGGAAATAAATCTACAAAGAAACATGAAAAAAGCAGTTGTGGGTGCAACAGCATAGAAGGAGGAGTGTGTGTGGTTGTGCTGGTTTTCACAATGACACTTAACATTCAAAGTCCTATTGCATTTAAATTTATATATATATATATTGCATTAAGATTTCCAATTCACAACTTAAAAACAGTACTTTTGTACTTTAACTCAAGTAAGAATTTCTACTTTTACTCAGGTTCAGAAGTTCTGTACTTTGCTTACTCCTGGTGAGAAGGCTTCCGTAGCTTAAAACATGGCGGGTTGACAGGCAGTGTAGAAGTAAAAGAGGAAAAAGACACTGAAACAGGACTTAAATTTTTTTTTAAATGTCACAAAACAGTTCTTTCCCAATCGTTATTACAGTCAATCATGAGAAAGGGAAAGACGTACTTGTGTTGACGTATGGTTAAGATATAAAATAGAGAAAAATGAGTAAAATCTAACCAGTAACCCAGCAGAAAAAGAAAGGTAAATTAACATTGCTCCCATACCTGAAAGATGCTGCTGGTGTACGAAGGACGTGCAGGTAACTGCAACAAGAGAACAAGGAGATTTCAGAAACATCACCCTGAATAACCTCCAGTCAGTGACGCAGTGATTTCTTGTACTAGCATTAAATGGTTTTGTTCCACTTACCATACACAAATTAATATTGTCATAAAGTGGATGCTCAAACTTCAGTTTATACAACAGATACTGAATTTCCAAAAGCTGAACACTGACCTAACGTTAATCGCTTTAGATATTCAAATTCAAGCCAGTGAAACTATCGGACAGAAAGTAACCAAGTTATAGCTCAGCTCAGTTAGGATAACAAAGTTCTACCAATTCAAAATTCCTGAATAATTCAGTCCAATGTAAACATGTGGCTGCAGAGTCATTCAGAGTGGTTTGATATAAAATGGTTCATTGTAAATAAGTGTACTGTTTCTTTACAGTGGTGATAGGAATCAGGGGTCACCATGACTACAACACAAATATAGACATTTTATTTACTATCTGAAACCACCAGTGAACCTACATGTGTTTTTGTGTAATGGTGGGAAAAATAGTCTGGAGAAAAAAGAGCTTTCTTTGGAGACTATATTGCCCTGCATGCACCCCTCCGGCATTAATGAATTTAAAAAAAACAGCAAGTTACATTTTTAATCACAAAACTACCATAAAACAAAGGTTCAGGCATCACACAGTACATATACATCTAACCATTTCATATAACTTTCTAACAGGGAGTTTTCAGAGGCACTGAATTCTTCGGACATCTGGTTCCACTTTGAACATTTCCTCAATCGTAGGTTTCACTACAGCAGGGAATTTCACGCCAAACCCCTGTGAATGACTGTCAACACTGCAACCATTTAATTGTGAAGGAAATTTTTGAAAATCAGTGGAGTTCTCCTTTAAGTTTTAACTCCGGCTCCAGTCACTCGACGCGTCTTTCCCTCTAAAGATTTCTGCTTCAACTCGTCTGAGTAAAGCATCAAACCTGGTCCGTTAACCTACCTGCTAGCGAGCAAACTAACAGCTCCACACACCACAAACCCTGATTAGTTTTTGCTTATCGGACACTCCAGCACCGTTCATTTCATTTCACTCGCTCAAATTTGAGTCATTTTTCTTGAAATTCGTCACAGTTTAGCACAAGTTAGCCGGACCGAACCGGACTTCCAGCAGAGCTGTTAGACAGCCTGCTAAAGTTAGCTAAACCTGAGCTAACTTAGATAGCAACTCAGTTTATTAGCGAGACTTATATCATGATTTCGACAACGTCGCTCCAAATTTAAAATAGTAATTAGAACAATTACCTTTTAACTGCCTTCATAAAGTCTCACACGGTGAGAGAAAACAGTCAGAGGTGACTAGGTTAGCCCATCTAACCTAGCCCACCATAGCAGACCACCGGCTAACTAACCTAGGTTAGCTAACTTAGCAAGCGACGCTAATTTTCCATTTTTTTGTTTTAAGAGTTCAACATTATCAGATTACAGGATCAAGTCCTGTCATAAACTGTTTCTACGCCAAATAAACCAGGTCTTACTCACCAAACGCGTCTCGAAGCCTCCGAAGTTTCCAGAAGCCCCTCCAACCAACTATCACTCGCTGCAGAACCACAAGTCCAAAGGGGTGGAGCCGGACCTGATCCAACTCCGCCCACGTCTTCTTTTCATTTATCTAAAATCATCACATTTCTACGCGTCTTTAAATTAGTATGTGTCGCTTACGTTTTCCGCCTACGATTTATTTTATTGGTCTACCCTGTCGCGTTTTTATCTGTGGGAAACCCGCAGGTGTTGCTGGTGTTTTTGTTTTTTTTTCTCGATGTTGCTCCGTCCTGAAGGCCACAACACAGACTTTATAATCGCTCATGATTCACCACGTTCACACTCATTTGTCAAAACTCGAAAAGCTTTTTTCACATTCCGGTACAAGTCCGTTCTGTAGGCCTGCATTTCAAGAGTACTGATGATAGACGAGTTCTAGTTGAAAACGTTGAACTAAACACTAGAATGCACTTACGACAGCTCAAAATAACCCACATAACTATGTTTTATCAACTAAATCCTGGAATTTCATAAGAAAGAGAAAATGTGTGTTATGTACTTACTTTCACATTCGCACTTGTTTACGTTTTACTTGAATCTGACGGGCAAGTATAGCGGGGCGGGGTGGAGTCTGATTTAGTTCAGACCAATTAAAACACGACGTAGGAGGAGTTGGATCAGATCCAGCCGTACCCCCTGGACTTTTGGTTCTGCAGCGACGACATTCTCGCTCCAACCGCTGTTCCCGCTCAGTTGAACCTCGCGCGTGTCGCCGCAGCGCAGGCGCACTCGGGCAGCCTCGAAACGGGTGTACTCAGCCCGCCTCAGTAGAGGCGCTGATTGTCAGTTAATACAGTGTTCATGCTGTTTAAATGGGCGGCAAGGGTTTTTTCGCAGACTTAATTTGCCTGTTAGTATTATTGTTTCTGTTGTTTGCAATTTTTAACATATAAATTGTGCTCTTATGATCAAAATATTAAAAATGGCAATAAAATTATAATAATAATGATCATTTTTAAAGCAAGATGATTAAGACATTATGTTGATTTAAAGTTGAAATCTCAACGTTGATTTATGAGTATTTTGTTAACCATTTCACAATCATTTAACATTAACGGTTTCAACGTTTTTTCAACGTTGAAACAACAACTGACATTATTTCAACCACATTTCAACGTTGAAGGTCGGTCATGTGCCAGCTGGGTAAGTTTTTCTATTTTGGGCGACTTTTTACTTTAACTTCACTACATTTAAAAGTCACGTATTATTTTTCAATCCACTTCATTGTGTGAAATCTGTCGTTCTTACTTTTGTCTTATGTATGCATGTGTACATGCTTATACGTACATGCTTAGGTCTTTTTGGCAGGTAAAGCAGGACGGAGTTCATGCAAACACTCACTGACCATCACACATAAAAGCATTAGTGAACTGATAGGACATATTCTTCCTGACTTTGTGGGTAAATACATGAACACAATATAGAAATATGTGCACATATGCAGTTATGACTGGCGTGTCTTTTTCTGAGTTTATATAAACACTGATTCCACCTAAACTTTGCTTGTTCACAAAAAGTGATTTCATAGCCACTTGGTTCCTAATGGAAACGGTTTGCCTTCAGTGTTTTGTGCTTATGATAATTTTAGGTCTGGGGTCTGCAGCTTTCCCCTTCTCACAACATCCACATTACACGTTAAGGTTTGTCTGCTTCTGCTTAGTGATATCATCACTTAATCCATTTTTCGTCCATAATTCAGATAGAGAATTCCATTTAATGTACCTACCTGTTCAAAAAAGTCATAGAACCCATTAAAAGTGTCTGTCGGTTCCTGGTGGTTTTCAGTAGTCGCTAATGGTGTTCTGGGTTGATATCACAGTGTAAAGGATTCAAATCATTGAATTAGGTGTTCTGCGACTGATTCCATATACAGTGGTTGGTTTCCTAAAGGTCTCTAACGGCAACCATCAAGCCAATTCCCGTTAGGAAGCAAAACCATCAGGTTTTATTCCTGACGGTTCTAATCGTCTTCAGCATGGCTTTCATTAGTTTCAGCAGTAGCCTGTTTGTTTTTCTGCGAATGAGCCTGACATTGTGTTTTATAGTTGTGGTGTTATTTCGAAAGTTTCCATATTTAATTACCTTGTCATTAGTATGACAGCGTTAGTACAAATTCAGTGTAGCTCTTGTTGCCCAGCAGTACGTAATTCGCTGTTTTCCTCATAAAACCAACAAAAACTCCGTCGTGTCACAGCGGCGCTGACGTCATTAACAGGCTGGCGGTGCAGGTGTGCAGCCAGACCCTTAGATCGGCTAATGCAAAAAATGACGGACAGCTGGTTCTAATCTGCGGTTGGCCAATGCAAAATGTGACTGACGGCCAAGAGTAGTTATTTAATTAGTTGATGCAAAAAATGATTGACCGACTCCCGCCCCCAGTTACCTCTCCTTTAGGGCTCCGGTCTGCAGCATTCCCCTTCTCCCTGGTCTCTCACGCAGATCGGTGTTAAAAACATACACGTTGAACGCGTTATAAACTGCATTAGTTCAGAGACGCAGACCTGGCTGGCAAGCTAGGCTACAGCATATCTGTCTTTGTTCACAATTTCGCAAAATGGATAAAAAAGAGAGAAGTGAGTAGCTGAGGGGGGAAGAGAGTGTACTCTGAATAACTAATTCAGCAAGAGAGCAACAGGTCAGTCTTCAGCCTTCTATACTCACCTGATCACTCTGGCTAGGTTAGCTGGTACGCCGTTTCCCTCTGTCAGGAAGCAAATTAATAGACCACCGACTGAGATGATCTCCATTACTGATTTTCAGAGTACCAGCAAACCGATTTCATTAACGATGACACGTTCAGCGTTACTTTACAAAAATAGCCCAGGTCCTGCTTCCTAACGTACCAGTCTTACATGTCATTACGAACAGGACTCAACAGAACCGGCTTTAATCAGGTGTGATCTCTTTGTTCATAAAAATTTACATCGTTAGTTTCTGCTCAGGGTGATTTTAAGGTATTACCGAGCTTAAATTTGTGGTGTCCAAGTACTTAAAGTAAATGGAATGGAGAAGTGTTTGCACTGGATAGTTTAACTGACTGAGCTGATTACAGTACCGTCATACTTCATGGATGTGTATCATAGTTATGTGGGCAATTTGGTGTCACACGATACATTAATGCAGTTTAACGGTTTGGAATCACTTCTTATTGTCAATAAACTATAATATTGTAATGCGTAGTGCTGTGCAAAAGTCTCAGGAGAAAATTGTCCGTAAAGCCCCTTATGTGGGCAGGTGTTTATTTGTTCTAAAAACACTGACATTGGAATGAATACAAATTAACAGTCCATTGTACTTTTATTTGTGTTAGTTTAACTATTCCATATGGCTCTCCTTGAGGAATTCCAGTGTTTACAGTTACTATTCAGTACCTATTTCATTTAATCAGTCCTTCATTAAATGAATACAGTTGTGTTGCTGATGGAAGTGAACAAATCCATTCAGTGGCTGGATTGCAGCGAGAAGTCAGGTATTAAACCTATGTTTCTTTAACAGTATCTATCTAACCTACATAATAAATAACTTCACTTTCAAATATGATATAGCAATCCACATAGTCTGATGTAACATTAGATGCTTATGAGTGGAGTGGCATGTCTTGAGCACATCAACTCATTTGAGACATATCAACAGAATAAACATGCATATTGTAATTTTTTTTAGTAATTGAACATCTCATATCAGGGACCCTTTAATTTTAATGCATTGGAGCCCATTAGATTGTAGTTACATGACTGCCTACATGGTAGATGGGCCTAATAAAAATGTACAGTATGTGTGAAAACAATGTAGGTGCCCCTAATAAAATGATTAGTGAGTGTTTATCATACATGAAAACTGTTCAGTATTGATGTTGAAGCAGATACTGCCAAGGCTATGCTAACTCAATGTTCTTATTGGGGCTACAGCCCAGGGGTGAGCCACCAGGGGGCTCCACGAGCATGATTGTGAATTGAATAATAATAAAAGAGACTGAAAAATTACGTTGATTTGCTCTTTTACATTATCAGTTTTTACCCTGTGTCTAATATCATCTTACTTACTTACAACTTGCTTACAATCACAGCCCCAGCGCAGGACCTCAGAATGCCTCAACACAACCGCACATAGTGTAGACTCGTTAGTGAAAAGAAAAAGAACAATGGAGCCACTGTTATTCAGTCATGTAGTAAAACACTAGAGCACCAGGCCATGGTTAAGAATATGAACAGTGTGGCAGTCATCTTGTCTCTCAAACAAGTGGCCTCTCTCTCAGAGTGCATTTCAGGAGCTGCAGCAATGCTGGAACAGTGGTCAATGTGTACTTAAAAAGACTGTGTACTTCATTTAAGTGCACTTGTTTTGAATGTTGGAATGCTTGTTTATTGTGTGTGCTCTCAGGTACATACACTATGTTTTTGACCTGGGAAATGGACCCAGCCTGCTGAAAGGGAACAGTGATGGTTCTCTCAATGACAACCAGTGGCATAGTGTGGTCATCACACGAGACGCCACCAACACTCACACTCTCAAGGTGGACACCAAATCAGTCAGCCAAGTGGTCAATGGTGCTAAGAACCTTGATCTGAAAGGTAAAAGGTTAAACTGATATTTATACATCTTTTGTATATTTATACATCTCCCGTTGGGCTAAAGTTATTGCCATTCCTGAGAAACCAGTCCCGTTCAGTCATAACAGAAAACATAGTTTAAGAATGTTTTAATAAAGTACATGTATGCTTTTTTCACCAATTTTTCTCTCTATGCTCCAAAAAATATGAATGATTTAAGATTATACTTCTCCTTTGCAGTATGTTCTGACAGAAAATGAATAGTTTTTCATCTTTGGACTATTACTATAATGTGGCATTTGGTTGTCTCTCTTGTGGTTTAGGTGATCTGTTTGTGGCAGGTCTGGGGCCCAACATGTACCACAACCTGCCCAAACTAGTTGTGTCTCGTGAAGGCTTCCAAGGATGTCTGGCTTCAGTGGACTTGAACGGCCGGCTCCCAGACCTCATCAATGATGCACTGTTCCGCAGTGGCCAGATTGAACGTGGCTGTGAAGGTGAGTTCTGCTCTGCGCCTCCAACCACAGAGTCTTAGTCTATCACCCACTGCTTACTATACATTGGGACTGCCGCTATCAAACAGTCTTCTGATGATTTTGGTGATTAATTATTCAGAATTTTTAATAAAGACCAAACAAGAACAAAAGCACTTAACTGAACAGTAACAAAGCATGCATAGCCTTGCATAGCCATAGATTTCAAAATACTTTGTTGGAAAAAGATTAACCAAGATGTCTTTGAAAAAATGTTATCAGAAAATGTATAAAATATGTGGCAAAAGTTACATAAATGCGTGTCCATAGACTCCGTCAGACACGTTTCTTATTCAAAAGAGTTTGTCATTATGAGATTTTTGAACTATTTAGTGCCAGTTTATAAAGATAGTAAATCTTAGTAAACGAGTGATTAATGACAGCCTACCAAGCCAAACTCGTGTCTTGTCCAACCATGCCTAAGCTTAACTTAAGCCCTGTACTTTTCCATTTCTCATGTTTCTCAATGTTTATTTATGAAATTGTATTAAAAATATATATATATTTTCTAGATATTTAAAGCAGTACTATATGTAAAATCTAAATTATCCATAAATACTATTGCTGCCAAACGCTGCTGTACTGAGTGGCTGTGTGACCACTTGATGGCAGTGCAGCCTCAGTATTCAGTGTAACTGGCACAAAAACAGAAATACATCACAATGCTCTTGCCAAAAAATCTTTGTTTCGGTGTTCAAGTTATTTTAAAAAAAGTCTGAAAAAACTGAGTCAGTATAACATTCTGTTCTAAGCCAGCCTAAATCAGGGGTTCCCAATCGTAGTGCTGGTGACCCAATGCTCTGCACATTTTGTGTTTTCCCTGATCTACACAATGGACCCAGCCCATGTGGAACTCCTTAATTAGTTGAAGAGCTGAATCAGGTGTGCTACATGACACAAAGCACAAAATGTGCACAGTATGGGGAGACCAGGACTGGAATTCGGAACCCTTGGCCTGAATAGAATCCTGCGTTAAATATTAACCTTTTCTCCATGCTCAACACTTTTTCCCGGTCCCTGTTGACTCAGTATTTCAAAACACACACAGCCATAATCCCCCCCCCGAGCCCACACTAACATTGCTTTGTCCCTTTCTTTCTGTCCTCTCTCTCTAACACAGTTGGTTTCACCAAAGCCGACTTGCAAGGTAGATCGTCTTTCACTCCGTGTAAAAAATCACACAGACACATGCACACACCACTGGCTGAAACGCATTAAGGTTGAATGTCCATGATGAGCAATGTCAGAGTGAACATATGTTGAAACAGGGCACAAGATATGTGGATGAGAAAGAAAGGAACTAGAAAATAAATTTGTTTTTAAAAAATATTTTAAAAATGCCAGTCATTGAAAGGACACACACACACACACATACATACATACATACATACATACATATATATATACATATACATATATATCTGTGTGTGTGTGTGTGTTTTTATTCTGCGTTGCTCCAAATATGTGCTTTCAGCCAGCTACAGTGCCCTACAAAATTATTGATGCCCTTGGTAAAGATGAGCCAATAAAATCTATGAAAATATCTTTGTTGTTTATTAGCTTTTTCCTGCCCTGAGAGAGAAATCTTACCTTTCAGTGAGTTGAAGTTATCATCCATGACTTCGTATTTCACTGAGGTAGAAACGTTAGGCCAACACAAAGTGCTAAATGTAGGAATTCCAATAATTGTTGCATGTTTTTTGAAAAAAAATGTAAACTTTTTTATAATGAGTTTGATCTTTGAATAGTTTTACTTCATTGAGGTGGTTTGCTCTCATATTTTCAATGTAAGATCAAGCTGATAAACAACAAAGACTTTTTATAGCCTCTTTTTAACTAAGGGAACCAATAATTCTGGAGGGCACTGTAAGTCTATCTGTTTGACTGCAGATGCCTTCTACTCGTAGTGCCCTGCTCAAGACTGTTGTTCTGAAGGCAGTACTTCTTTGTACGTGTCTTGGTTCTTTTCATTTTCTATTTGTTCCTTCTTTGTTCTACATTTCTCAGAAGCATGTGGTACTGAGATCAGTGTGAAACAGCAACCATCATAAGATAATCTTAAAACTGCAGTGTTTTTGGTTAAATGATTGGTTAAACAAAAATGTTGCTAGTACTTTGAATGTGTTTGGCTGGACAGTGAACTGTGCTGTTGCTATTGGAGAAGTGTGAGATCATTCAGCTTGTGTGGAATGAAAGCACATCTGGTTTGAATACCCTTTGAAGTTTGAAACGATTGCATACGTTAACATAGATGTATGCAAAATTCTGCTGTAGCATGTCTCATTTCTCTTTTTCTTTGCAAAGTTTTGTGACTTCACTTTCTTTGTATTGTTTATTTTTTCTGATTTTTTTGCATTTATTTTTTTAATTATCAATTGGAGATGTGTTTATCTGTCAGAGTTGTCTAACGCATTAAAGCCATTATTTTTTTTTTAATTACCTTTCTTTCTTTTGGCCTGACTGATAATGAAATGCAGTCATTACATACTGACTCTGGCCTGTTAGAGTGACCTTGCTTGCATGCTATTGCTCCTCTTGACAACTACCTAATATGTGTTGGTGAATGGAGACCAGAGTAGTGATATGTGCTAGTCCCTATCATTTCTGTAGACTCATGTTCCTCTCTTTTTCTATGCCAGGGCCCAGCACCACATGCCAGGAGGACTCCTGTGCCAACTTTGGAGTGTGCATCCAGCAGTGGGAGAACTTCACTTGTGACTGCTCCATGACCTCCTATTCTGGCACGACATGCAATGACCGTGAGTACACTGGTTACTTTGTGTCACTATCTTAAAAGGCCATCAGGATTTATGTCACTGCTTTGATATTTTGTGCAATACATTATCAGAATCCTTTACCTGTCTTGGGTAATTTTGCGTGTGGCATGATATGTGGACAGATCTGCCTCAAATGCTGGCACACTCAAATGCTGTGGTGTGATGGAATTGCTACTCAGCAATGTCATTTCATATTCAAAACTGAATGCAATAAATTACAGGATTACATTTAAATAATAAAAAAAAATGAAAGTAATAACTCTTGACTTCTCTATGGGTTGAACAAAAGAAGGCAAACTTGAAAGACAAGTTTTGAACACAATTAGACAAGCTTCTTTTCTTCCTCTGCACCTCCTTAATTTTGCCTCATATCTCTCTCTCCTTCCCTCTCTTTAATAATGTCCTATAACCTCAAGCAGTTGTACAGCACTTTATCATCGTAGCATTTCTAATCACAATGGCATATTCAGCTTCACTCCTTAAAGCAGCATTATGCAAGAATTGGTATTTTTTGCTCTTGGGCTCCTCCTACAGTTGCAGAGTGTATTTGACTTTTACACCACTGTCGTAAATACAAATTGCACTATGAGCTTCACTCATGTACACATGTATTTGTTGAAAAAAAACCTAAAAACTCTCACCGGGAGAATCTGAGTCCCCTTCTCAAACATGCACATCACGCAAACATGTGGATGTTACAGGATACATTCACGATTTCTGTGTTTCTGTATGTAAGCAACCAAAACTGCTAGTGTGATCTGTAGTGTCCATATGCCTGTGTGCATGTGAAGGGGGCGTCAGATTCTCCTGGGGAGATAGAAATTCGGCATAACACTTGCAAAGAACATCAGAAGAGAAAGAACCATGTTGACTTACATGGTAGAGTAATATTACAGGATTTTATTTCAGGAGGCCAACTTTCAAGGCTTACTTGGCATGAGATTGACAAAGACTGACCAAACTTTCTGGCGTGAGATAAATTTATTTCTTTGCTAGACCAAAACGGTACCGAGGTTACGTGGCTTTGGCGTCTGCAAAAACGACGAAACACTGTGCGACAGGGATGACACAGATATCATTACAGCCTATGTTGCAATCTTTTGTAAATAACATTGGCATGGATGTACACTCTGCTGGAGGATTTTTGTTCATTTCCCCATTAGCTCAGAGACCGGTCACAACAGCTAGCATCAGGACAGTATCGGCAACGAGTTAAAGTCCGAGAGTTACTCTTGTTCGGTTTGTTGCTCTGTCTCTCTCTCTTTTTCTCTTCATTGCTTCCTCCATCATCATCATCTTCGGTCTTTTGGCAGCTATGGTGTCCATAAAAGGAATACCAAGCTGGCTTCTTCTCATACCCAGCTGAAGAGCCATAGTTGTTGGTGTGTGATGTGGTGCCGTAAAGTGTTACACAGTTCTCGTGAGAGGTTTCGTGCCCGTTCCAGAGAACTTGTAGAAAGGAGAATTACCATTCTGGTAATGTCTTCTGGGTTATTCAAAAATTTGAGGGCGCACCCGAGCAAGTCCAAAATGAATGGGTTAATATGAACACAGAACAGCATAAAACATTTTAACACCACTGTTATATTTTTAAACACATTTAAACTCAAGTTATAGAAGTTTAAATCGGCGCCTCATGTACGTTCATGACGTCAGTGAGCTTGAACAGCAGATGAGCTGCTCCGCTCGCCAGCCAATCAGCACTCACTAGCAGTAATGCCAGCGTCCTGCTGCCCAAAACCCGTTTGCTGTAACAAAAAGGAGACATACAGGTGAGTTTTCTTTGCTCTCTTAGTGAAATACATCCTGCTACTTTCTAAAATTAAAGGAAAGTTCTGGGCAAATGATTAGGAAATATTTTAACTTTTTAGCCGGTTTTAGCCGTTTAGCTACATTCACCCTTTTTCATTTTTCATTCAGCAGTCACCATTTGTGGCACAGTAATTTTAATGTTGTAGTAAAACATGCGCATCAAAACATGCAAAACTTAGTGTTTTACTAAGGAGGTTTTAGGCAGTAGAAGAAATTCCTTAATTTAGAGCATACTGTTCCTTTGTATTTTAATTGATTATCTGCTGTTATCACTGTTGACAAGCTCTGTTTTTGCATAGTGTTCTCTTGCAGTGTTCTCAGTTGTAAATAGTAGTACTGGAAGATAACTTAAAACAATGTCATTTGGTGGGTGTCTTCAAATTGTTGCTTCAAATGGTTCAAAAAATACGTAGAAACTATATCAGTAGTAGGTTTTTGTAAATCTGTTTTCTGTCTGGTTGACAATTCTGTGTAAGATGTGCCTGGGTGGAATTTTAAGCGAGACAGTCCAAACAGTCCACTCAAAACAGGCTGTGTCAGGTTTGTAAGACGTTCTTTTAACATAGAATCATCTACCAGCCTTCAAGAAGAATGGGTTCATTACTTTTATTAATACAAGCTTAAATATAATCTATCATTGTGATATATTTGAAAGTATTTGAAACGTGATACTGAGCTTTATCAACACTGCCCAGCCCCTCTGAACAATACTGTATGAAATTCCCAGTTGTGATGCTAGGTGGTGCTACTGAATTGCTCTAAAATTCAGTACAACCCTTAGCTACAGCACAGTCCCTAGAGCATGAAATCAGCTTTCACCATGTTTTTATTCTTTTTCTTTTTACAAGCACAATCACACACCCATGCACAAATGGCAGCACACACATTTTCCCTTCAGTGTCTGACAATAAACACCACATCTGAAAACAGAGTAATGTGCTGTTTCTTGAACCTGCCATGCAAAAAGCGCAACCCTGCGTGAGTGTGATTCTAATTAGTGTGTGTAGTTTCCCAAGTGTTGCTATGATTGGGGATTAAAAGAGCACATAACACAAGAACACTGCAGCAGTTAATAGCTTCAGATCCCACTCAGTCTATCATTCAGACTCAATTCATCAGAGAGCGAGAGATTGAGAGAGAGAGAGAGAGAGAGAGAGTCTCTTGCCAAGGAAGGGAGAGATGCATTTCATGTTCTGACCATGACTCGGAAGCCGGTTTGAGGACAGAATACGAGAATGGAAGTGATATTTTACTTGGAACAGAAATTAATGCCAAAATGTAGTCACTGAAAAGAGCTCATCACCGAAGGAGGTAGCTATAGTGCCTTTATAGGATGCTTTTTGATTATCATTATTGCCCATTTCATGTATGAACCGAGGTAAATTTGCTTACTATTAACTTTTTCTCAACATTAAACCTTTTTTGTTATGCTGCACCCATTAGGTTACATATGCTTTTATAACAATGTCTGGTAAATAATTATAGGACACCTGATAGCTATGTTTTGGAGCAACTTACTGAATCACAAACATAGTTCCATGAATCAAAACATGGTCCAGAACCTATGTGTATGTGTTTGAGTATGTCCTTATTAGTACAAACACAATGTCTGAGTCTAAAAGCCTTCCAGATCTACTATTTAATCATATTAGGTCGACAGCCCGTGTGAAAAGAGCTGAATTAACCACTCTAATTGGTATAGGGTGTTATGTTGGGGTTGTAACACAAGAATCAAAACATTAAAATATTGGTTCTGATCAGAGCAAACTGATTTATTTTTTGCCCTACTTCTGAGCTCTGGTTCCCAGGTGGAGCCAAGCATGGCTATGGAAGGAGTCACAATTGGATTCTTGAAAGGAGAGAGAGGGAGGAAAAGAGAGAGAAAGGGAGATGAACTGATATAAAACAAACAGATGAAGGACGGCAAAAAAGGATGGTGAAAGGGAGCAACAGAATGTGAGGAGGCTTCATTTACATGTGTGGTTGAGAGAGAATGAGAGAAAGAGAGGGAGAGAGAAAGAGACAGAAATCAGCTTCTAACCTAGATTCCAAGCTGCAGGTTTTTAAGTGTATTGTCTGAGGCAGATTGTGCCCAGTGCATTTTTTGTCTGTACTCATAAATCCTCCCATTGTGTTGGGAGGTATAGAGCGCAGCGTATTTATCATACTGTCCCACACAACACAACAGAACACTTAGATAAGCCTGACCTGACTCCACAGCCTTGAGGGCACCTCTTTCATTCCCTCAACAACCAGAAATGCATGACACAGGTCCAGCAGGGATATGTTAATTTAATTTTATATACAGTTTCACAATCCTTTTCACTGCTCAATTATTCCTCATATGGGCTATATTCACAAAACATGGGGACATGCAAGGTTCATCTTTCTGATCCACTATAAACTCTCCCTGAGTTTCATCACCTCAGTGCTTAATTTATTTCAAGGACGTTTGAGCTATGGGCGCAATTGAGAGCGCTGACCAGGGCAATTATTTAGCTCCCATAATTGAATTAGTTTTTCCCCCCATCCCATTATTTGTCTCATACAAAGGTCACACTTTACTGTTCTTGTGCAGTTCAAGAGGCATATTGTGCACAAATACATAAAAATGCAGAGAATCAGTTCATAAAATACCAGCCTGGTAGCATCGTGTCATCAGGGTAAGCCTAGCGGGTGAAAATGGCAGTGAGAAATGGATAAAATAAATGATAATTTAATTCATATACAGTCCCCTCTGAAAGTGTTAGAAAGCCAATTCTTTTGTTTTTGCTATACACTGATGACACGTGGGTTTGAATGCAAAAGATGAACTTGAGACAGTTATATTATACATGAGACAGTGATATTTACATCTAAATGTGTTAAACAACTTAGAACATGGCACATTTGGTGGTAAACCACCCAATTTTTGAGTGAGAAAAATATGAGAAGATAGTCTAAGTAAATTAAAGTAAATAACACTTAATTTTGGTTGCATGTCCCTCACTTGCACTGACTGCATCAAGCTGACATCAACAAAACTGCATTTTTCTTGTGTGATACTTTTTCAGGCTTTTACTGCAGCTTCTTTTAGTTTTGGTTTTGGGGGGTTTCTCCCTTCAGTCTCTCTTCAGGAGGTGACATGTATGCTCAGTTAGGTTAAAGTCCGGTGATCGACTTGGCCAGTC